TATGGATATAGATATGGTTGTCCGATATTCTATTCTCTTTCAGCACGAGATGCACAGTGTTTCTACAGATTGAACATACATACAAATCGAACGTTTTCATCACAACTATTTTCCTCTTCCGAACAGCCTGTTATGATTCTGTCGGCGAGTTGGGCGAGTTCGGTTTCGTCATGTTTAAAGATTTAAATCCTGATGTCAACACATTTTCCCGTAACTTCGTGAAGGAGATTCGCCGTGCAGATGAGATGGAGCGAAAAATCCGTATGTTTTCTTATAGTGAACACGGATTCAAGACAATATACGCCTAAAACGTTATGATTTGTGTTTGAGGTTCATATGAACATTTAGAATGCGATCCTTATATGCAATGGGAACCTGCCGATGAGATATGCTCTGTGTATAGTTTGTGTTGTTCTTTGTACGATTTGTTTGCTTGTTTGTTTGCGCTCCACATCGGTTTGCCAGCTGTTTTGCCGTCTACATCTGAACATTATATCGGACAATTGTCCAATCAAAGTTACCGTGTGAATGTTTGTCCCCACACTCGACAGGAAACTCATGGTGTAAATCCGACCATTCCAAATAAAACCCCTCGCCAGGTTTTTGCGCTGCACAGATGGAAAAGGGCGGCATTGTGGAGGATGCCAATCAACTGCTCTCCTACCAGTGCGAGAAGAAGCACTCGCAACCATCATACTCGGAGATCGATGAGCTGGATCACAAACTTACACGCCTGGAAACTGGTATATGTGTCTTTAAGTAGTGTGAAATTAGTTCACACGTGTGTATGTGTAGGGCATTCAGGTGCGGGATCAAGTTGCACATCTGGCATATAGTCCATGATGTGAAATAGTTGAGAAATGCGTTTTATAATTCATTGTGCGTACGATTGATGCCAACTTATGTATATGCGAGTTATCTTCTTGCCTATTTTGGGGAGAATCGAAATCTTCAATAAGCGGCATAGTGTAGCAATTGAGCAAGAGGTTGTAAACGTCTTGTATACACGTAAACTGTTTTGTATTGACCTTCCTATTGATATCTTCCCGTCCTGGTCTGCAGAGGTCAAGGAGATGAATGATAATGAAGGCAACCTGCAACGAAATTACCTGGAGTTGATTGAGTTACGTTACATCGTCAAGCTCACCGACCAGTACTTCGAAGAGTCAAAGCGACAGTATGTGCCATGGAAGAAAAACATGTGACATTGAATTTTCTATATTGATTCGGACATGGACAGGTAGATGTTTGTTCTCGTATAGAGTAATTTACGTTTCCATATATATCTGCACGTGTAGCATTATCAGTTAATTTTTATAACTATCCATGAATAACTATCCATGAGCTATCAACTACTCATCTATTACGATGGATGGGTTTTATACTTATAAATAAGTCTCACTGTATCAACTTCCCGCGTACCTGACTTTATCATGCACCAATGAAGAGGAGCTGTGCATGAAATTTTGATGTACTAACCGAGTGCTTCCTTTTAATCATTTCGCTAGGACCGCCGAAAGAGCACTACTGTCTTCGTCCGATAGTGCACCACTCCTCGGCGGAAACGACACCGACGATGCTGATGTCGGTGCAACTCATAGAGGCGTTAAGGTATGACTTTGTTTTATATATCCTTGTATTTGTGCGTTTATTTTGTGCCTAGTGCCTAGATGTTGGAAAAATTTACATATATCTACACAGAGACGCATATAATCACTCACTTAACACACACTCACACACACTCACAAACACATACATATATATATATATATATATACATATATATATATATAAGTAATATATATATATATATTATAGATCCATACAGTAAAAGTGAGGTTCTTAAACTCGAATTCACGCGTATGTGTATGAATATTCACACAAAGATCGAACTTTCCCCAAACACGGCAGGTGGGACACTGTACCGGAGTGATCCCCAGAGAACGCTACGTCGCCTTCGAGCGAGTTATGTGGAGAGGCACACGCGGTAATGTGTACATGCGTCACGTGAACATTGATGAGAAGCTCAAAGACCCTGTCTCAGGCGAGATGATCGACAAGGTTGTGTTCGTGGCCTTCTACCAGGGAGATGTACTGGAGAGCAAGGTCAAGCGCATCTGTGATGGCTTTGGGGCGACTAACTACCCCTGCCCCGAGGCGTATGAAGAGCGTAGAGCTCTACAGACTCGGGTACGCTATGGAAGTCTTAATATCTGAGATCTCAGGTCACAAGATATCGAATGAATTTGTTTCTCGAGTTGTATGCTTTGTTTGCCTGCTCCACTACCACCAGCTGACTGAGCTTCAGGCTAGCTAAACCCTCCTATCCAATTACGACGCAAAGGGTGCCTCTAGCTATGCGCGCAATATCTCATACACCATGGAAAGGTCTCTGATCTTCATCATTTCTCTTTGGATTCGCATCGCATAGGTTGCTGCTGGCATTGAAGAATTGCAGATGGTGTTGGGCCGTACTGCCGATTTCCGAAAGCGTGTGCTGGGCGATATTGCCGACTCGTATGAAGAATGGTACATCAAGACGTTGAAGATGAAAGCCACTTACCATACGATGAATATGGTGGGTTAAACATACAACATCAGTTATCTATACTTTACGCTCTTGTGTATGATATGTTGGGCTGTGTTGCTGCTGTGTATGAGTGATAAGGTTGGGATCCATAACCAGTCTACAATCGGGGTATCAGGTACATATGCTCAATTACAAGCATTACCATAGATAAACACTCGTTATATTGTTGAATTGTTAAACACATTTTTGCAGAACTTCGTGAACAAAAGTGCATGTCTGTTTAAAGGGGGAGCTCACTACTGATCATATAAATTATTTTTGCAGTTCAACTTCGACGTGTCTGAATCTGCGCTAATTGCCGAGGGTTGGGTGCCCACGGCCAAACTAGCTGATGTGCAGAGTGCACTCAAGGATGTTACGGATCGACTAGGCTCAGGAGTACCCACAATTGTAAAGACCACGCACACATTCGATATGCCACCCACGTACCATATCACCAATAAGTTTACAAGTGCGTTCCAGGTACGTTTGTATTTATAGGTATATGCATATATAAGCATGAGTAATTATGCAAAAATGTTATAGTATAGAATATATATATATATATATAGATCATATTATGTACG